GTTTTTTACTGCGACGATTGCCGTTGCCAGTAATACTGTGTTATTGACTTGGTTATTGTAATATAAATGATTGCTTACTGTTGTTACTGCATTTTCTACACCCGTTTCTATCTGATTCGTGTTTGACTGATTATCAAGGTGTAAAAGTGAATTATGTTTCTTATTACAGTGACGACATTTTGTTAAATTACGACAAGTTGCTGTAGAATGATTATTTTTAAGACAATTTATACAAAGTTTCAAAAATCTCGCCCTTTCATTACGAGTTTGTATTGCCAGATTAAGGAATTCGGTACATCTATAAATTAAATGATTCGAGTTTTTGCAATATGAGCAGACCACTGACCCTTGATCAACAGCAGCACACGCAATGGTGCGCTTTTGCATTTGTGTAGCTTTTTGGAAGGTATTGTGTGATGGGTGATTTACTGGTTTATTTGTTACGTAATTTAATGATTCTATGACCGTGTAGCGTCTTTCTAAAAATTTGATAAATTGATCGTAAGTAGGTACGTTCGTGTCAAGGGATGTCTGCCAGTCTTTTTTGGTGGTATAATCTAATTTTTCTGCGATTATGGGTACTATCATGGCATCCCATGAATCTACCGGTATTTGCAGCGTTTTTAACGCGGCCATATTAATTATAACTACATCTACCAGATCGCGTAAAGCAGTATTCGATTGTTTGCTTACAACTTGCGCATTTAAAATTGACATAACGTGGTCCTGCACGATTAACCGGCTGTTTTTGAACCGCCTTTCTAGTATGTCCCACGCTTTATTGTAATTTTCGTCTCCAATTGGCAATGATTCTATCGCGCGTAAAGCATCACCGTGCAAACTGGACTTTATTAATTTAAATTTTGACTGTTATTGAGATTTGTATTGTCGTCGATGACAGATTTGAATGAATTTTGAAAATTAGTCCAGTCCTTATAGTTTCTGGAAAAAGAGCTAATATTAATTATTGGCAAATTTAGGGAACTATTTTTACGCGTCTCTACTGAAGTCACAGCAAGACCTTTTCTTTGTGAGTTATGCTGAGCCGCCTCAATTATGTCAATCATAGCGGCCATTATGTCGCAATATTTGTCTTCAAATGCAACGCCCGCTTCGCGATGCATTCTTTTGTTTTGCTCGTTTTTTGAGTCAAGTGTTTCGTATTCGTATTGGCTTTCCTCGTACTCTTTTCTTATACTCTCAAGAATTTGTCGACGCGCCTTTATACTACTTATGCTACTTGTTTCCGGGTTAAAATTATTTACGTACTGTTCTATTCGCGATAATTTCTCATTTACGGTGGTGAGTATGTTTCTCACTTCGTTTAAGCGTGACATTTTGTGGTGATAGTTAAGTATGAAATGTATACGGATCCTAATGCAAATCAAACCGTGTTACAAACTGTGGAACGGGAATAGTGAATTGTTAGGATTTTGTAGAGGCACTCACCTTCTGCTGACGACGGGATACTCTCGTTGGCTCTGGTAAACTGTCTTGGACTGCTTTCTCGATTGTCTCAGCTCCTCGGGGTGGTATTTCGTTTTGCACAATACTCACTGCTGCCGATGAAGTTTTTTTACGATTTATTATGTTGTTTTTGCATCGGATCCGGCTCGAAGGACCAATGTTGGACCGTTAGGTCGTATGTTCGAATAATGTACTGATTGATGAATATGAGATGTTGAACTTAAGATGCGTTGAAAATGAATCGATGTTGATGCTTCAAAAAATTTTTAATGGCTGAATTCTGCTTACAGACTACTTACAATAAATATAAATGTTCTCCTACAATTTCCCTATCTACTAAACCGGGGAGGGTTTTACCCATCCCTTGGTCAGGTACCCAGTTCTTGAGTAACAAATAAACTTTATTGTACGTAAAACCGTACAGATTTAGAGCTACCGAGATTTTTCTGACTGAACTAACCAATGTGTCTGCTAAATGTGAATGTCCTTGTAACTGTTTTTTTTTCGCCTCGATCAACGGAATGGAATCACGAATTTTTAATTCCCGGTCGTACAGTTAACAAGGAGTACTGCCTACAAGTTTCGCGCAATTTACTTCACGTAATCAAGAGAAAACGACAAGAACACTAGTGACATTTCGTGGATTTTGCACCATGACAATGCAGCGGCGCATACCGCTTTGTTTATCCGACACGAAACACAAGCCGTTGTGATACCGCAACTACCCTATTCTCCGGACATGTCCACCCCCCTTCGACATTTTGGTATTTCCCAGACTTAAAAGGATACTCAAAGGACGTTTTTCAACAATACATGAGATAAAGGCAGAATCGCAAACCGTACTCAAGACGATACCAAGGTGTCCCACCAGTGTCTCTCAAATTGGGAACTACGTTGACATACGTGTATAATATCACAGGGGGACTACTTTGAAGGGGATGGGATAAAAATTTAAGATTAAATAAACTCATTCTGATTGTGAGAAAATTAACAATTTCCGTTACTTTTTGATCCAACCTCGCATTAAAATTCTAATTTTTAATATTGGTTTTATGTTATTGTGAATTGCTCTGAAGTAGAAACCTCTTTACTGAAAGATATTGCTTATCAAACGTAGTTCTTCAAAATTACGGTAAATATCAGAACATTTTTAAATACTTGTTAAATAAATGTAATTAACAAATACTATTGTCTGCAGAAAACGAATGATAACAACTTTAATACTTATTTACACATAATTTAACATCAATTAACTTTCTAAGATAGTATAATAAATTGTTCAGAGAGTGTTGATAACGTTAAATGAAATCGGAGAAATATTTCTATAGTGTTCCTTAAATAATTTAGAAAATTGATACGAGTATCTATCATTTTAATATCTGTAAAAGCAATGAAAGGAGTAATAATAGGGAAATATGTACACATTAAAAAAAATTAAAAAGGCGAATACATTAAAGATAAAAATAATAATAATATTCATGATACAGAACATTTTCATATAATAAATTTATTATTTTCAATAATTCTGAAAGTACTTTTGAAAATATTTGAAAATGCAGAAATAGATATCGGAATCTAATCTATATTCGTAACTAATAATATTAATAATACCAGAACATTTTTTTAAGACAAAAATAAATAAATGTTCCAATCTGACAGATATTTATCCAATATGTATTCTCATCAATAATAATTTCAAAGAATAATTATATACAACACCTTGTATATGAGTACATTTCATAAATGAAGAAGTGTACTTCATTTGAGAATGTTATTCTTTCGACCATTTTAGTTTAAAATGCCTTAATGGACCAATGATACAAAGATTAGAGGATGTTGAAATGTAAAAATAAATACAGGGTGATTCATTAACGCTATCGAGCGGCTGTATATTTGAAACTAGACGTGCTACGATTATGGGGTAAAAAATCTATTAACAAATACGGCCAAAAGAAATTGATTTAAAATATTTTCAAGTTTGTAACTTCACCGCTAGGGGGCGCAACTACTATAGTGTTACAGAGAATTATCGGAATTTCGAAATTTCGCCTATATAACCTAAGTTGAAAATACACTTTTTAGATACACTGTTAAGCCCTTCACAAGTTTTGTTTGAACTTTTTTTTGTTATTCCCATAGCAACGCCAGTATGAAGGATGCCATCTTGAAATTTTTAAATTGTCATAACTTCTGAATGCCTTAATCGATTTTAATAAACGATGGTTCATTTTAAAGAACTATTAATAAAATTTATATTTATGACATGGGAATAAAAATATAATTTTCCTGCGCACGGTAGACGACGATAATGTGAAAAGTTTTGTAATTATCTCCGTTTACTAAAAAAATTAAATGCAACGATATAGTTTTTTTCATGGCTTGATATACCATTCATTAAGGAAAACAAATACACAAACATGAGGTCGATATTTTTTTTCGTTTTCAAGTTATTGCTAAAATAGTGAAATTGTGCTAGAATATCCTCCTTTATTTAGTTCTCTAAATAACAAAATTAAATTGTAATTAATTGTAAAACTATACCAATCTTGTCCTTAAAAAGAACTTGCTTTATTTTTAAATTTTATTGATATGTAGGTGCAATTTTTCATTTTTTTATTAATTCCAAATATCTGAGTACCTATTTATAATTATTGTTTCCATAACGAGGCAGGCAGGTCCTATGAAAATAGACAAATGAACAATTATGTCAAGCAATATGTGCAAGCTCTTGTATACTGACTGATGAAACTTGAGCTAACTAATAATACAATAGATAATGATATTAATAATAAAAAATAGTTCAAAAAAGTTAAATCCAAGAAAATTTTCTTTTGTGAGGACTAACGGGAAAATACAGTGCTCAAAAAAATATATTAATATTTACACTAGTGCCTCCACTCCTGGGTGATAAATATACCACTTAGGTATACCAGTTCAGTGAATTTTTGCCTTTAAATTTGGGAAACTGTATTACCAAAAGATTAATACAACCTTGTCAATATGCATTCCCTAAAATGGTTTTATTTAAAATTTTCTTATATTTAAATGTGAAAGTAGGTATTCATTCTATCAAAAGTAGTAAAATAGTATTACAAATTATGTAGACTATGTAAATAAACAAACTCTTACATAAGCTATTATCGTATGTCAATGACACTGATAAGACCAATTAAAAAAAAATTATTATTAAATAATTATTCATTGTATAAGAACATTTGTTTATTTTTAAAGTTAGATAAGTCGCCCATTTAATCTGATATACACTTTTAATGACAATCATTTATTTATTTGTTTTCAATAGAAAAAAATTACCCGCATAGGTAGAGAAAGACTTTTAGCTTTGTTCTTTCTACTTAAAACAAAAATATAATTGTTTGAATATCTCAAAGATAAAAAATTTTCTACAATTTTGTGCCCACCTTAAACAAATTATGTAATTAATAATTTACTTTAATACGAAAACATAATCACCTAAAATTCACCGGTTTCTAAAAATGGTTTACTACAATTTTTGAACGAACTTTTTCTTTTACCTGCATTGAAAGCTTCCCCATCTTCCATATATCTGACAGCCGCCTCAACAGCGTCTAATGCTGATCCGCCTTTTTGCAAAATACTGTAGCCAATTCTTGCAGATTCCTTGACTCCTGAAATTTTGGCAGGAACCCTTTCGTCGGGCACATCTCCAGCTCCTCCGTGCACAAGAATAATCGGAGACATTTTCGCGTAAGCTCTAGCGTTGAGGACTTTATATCCACTGAAATGCAGACATACAATTTCTTGATTTATTTGTGCTATAAATACCGTTTCGTCTTATCTGACCTCAAGTACAAAGCAAACAAAATGAATCTGTCCCCTTTAGCGTACATTATCGTTGCTATTTGGAATGAATATAGCTCTCAATAGCTTGGTTGCAGTCGTCTTGTGCTTGACTCTCTGGTTTGGGAATTTACGTAGGAGTAGGGAAAATTCAGTTCGATGACCACTTCATTGTTGGATATAAAGACTGTCTCTAATTTATTGTGTTAAATCTGAACAGAATAAAGAATGCCGTTTGATAAAAAAGTTTTGTATATACGAAGACAATGTCCGTAAAAAAATATAGGTGGAAAGGAGGTGCATTATTTAAAAACATATTTTTAATTTTAATTAATTTTATTATTTTTTTTATTTTAGGTAGGTTCCTATAATAAAGTTATATAACGATTGCCCACCCTACTCTTAATTCCTATAATAATTAAAAATCTTTTTTGTTAAACATTTGTTTTGGCACCTTTTGGTAAATAATATAATAATAATATGTACCTTTTTCTTTAGAAAGAACTGCTCAAACGGCACAGAGTACAAACTCATATTTGGTATTAATTACTTAATTAAGCATTAATTAGCAGTAATGTTTTATTTTGATAATCGGAAGTATCATAGAATAGATATAGAAAAACAAAAATGGATGATATATTTAAGATAAAGGATGTAAGACATGGAAGACCATACCTCATACCATTAATGTATAAAAGTGGAAAAATTCATATACTTACCTGCCACGAAAAAAGAAATCTGTAGGTATTTTAAAATAAGTTTTTCGAAAATTGTTATTAATGGTTGACTTTTACATGATATTTATTGTGTCAAAACAACAGTTTTTTGTCTACAGAACGTAATAGTCTTTTACATCCATGATGTTAAAGTCTTTTACATCTACCTACAAAAATCAATGAAAACACAGATGAGTTCACCAGAGTATTTATTATTATCAACAAAATCATAAATTATAAGAATCATTAATAGTCAGTTTAGTTATTATCAATCGATTTAACAGGTAATCAAAGAATTTTTAATATTAAAATATATAAAGTCAACTGTAGATGACATATGCACATGTCAAATAAATTAATTTTAAATGTCAAAATTTTTTCTTCACATTTTTTAATTATTTATTTTCTGGGATACTGGTCAAAATAAACATATACTTAGTTTATAGAACTATTTTTTATTCATAAATTGTTTATTGCGATTACGTTTATGGATGAAAAATAGTTTTATAAACTAAGTGTTTATTTTGACCAGTATCCCAGAAAATTAATAATTTTCAAGAATTAATTATATGGTCAGGAAATTATATCAAGGTGTCCCAGAATAACGTGTACAACGGAAGATAAGAGACTCGTGGACTCACAATAAGCAGATTTAGGCTAATTCACCTATATCCAAAATCGCTTCGTTTGGCCGCTAGATGGCCTCAAAGTTCGTGAAAATTTTTTGAATTTTGTAAATAACTCGTATACGTAATATTCGATTCTGATTATTTTTGGGGTGTGGACTTTTGTTTTCAATCTACATATTTTGATGTTATGCAGTGTTTTTTAAAACTCGCAACTCCTACAAAATTGATGTATGGTGATAATATCCGTTCATAACTTTTTCGTCTTTCCGGCAAAAATGACAACTATTTTTTATTTGATAGGTGATACCTACCATTTGGAAGTTTTTGGACCTCTTGTAGAATTTTGATTAAATAAACGGTTTGGGTACAAAAAAATGTTTGTTAAATGTATACATTATCCTGCCATCCATATTACAATACTTAGCAAAGTGCTAGTAGGCTCTAATTTTGTAGGTTGACTGTAATATCAGTTTGATCTTTAAGTCATTGTACCTGCCAATACTTAACGAGTGTTTACTCCGATAAAATATACCTCGTTACTTCAATTTTTGATATGGGTAACACATACGACGATTTAGAGTTATTTACAATGTGCCTAATTTTATTAAACTAATTCGTAAAAATAATTAAAGCAAATAAAAAATGCTGGAGATAAAGGTAACAAAGTTGAGGTTATTAAATTTAGTACAACTTATAAAAACTGTTCAAAATGACTACCGTTATTTCTACAACAAAGGTTAATTCGGCGAAGAAAGTTAAACGATACCCTTTGCTGTTTTTAAGGGCTATTTTTTAAAACATTGCATTTTGGATATGCCTCCACAACTCAGTTCAGTGTTAAGATATGGAATCATTCATTGTTGTTTTCAGAGTGCCCCAAAGATAATAGTCGCAAGGTGTTAAATCTGGTGATCGTAAAGGCCAATTAACAGGAACATTATTCTGCTCTACCGATCCGAGGGAATCTTTGGTTCAGATAATTCCAGACATTTACAATGAAATGTGGTGGATGCATAGACCACATGTTAGCTCTGAGTAATAACGACATATTTTCCAATTACTCGGGTTTTGCAGAAACTCTAAATAAAATTCTCTATTCAGCTCCATGCTATCCTAAACAAGATCAAACTGAAATTACGGTCAATCTATACAAGATCAGAGCCTACTAGCACTTTGTTAAGTATTGTAATTGGGTGGCTAGATACAGTTAAAAAATATTTTTTTGTACCCAAACCGCTCATTTAATCCAAAATTCTACAAGAGGCCCAAAAACTTCCAAATGGTATCACCTATCATATAAAAAATAGTTGTCATCATTGCCCGAAAGAGGAAAAAGTTATGAACGGATATTATCACCATACATAAATCTTTATCGCACTCTTGTGGCACCCTATATATGACCAGATATACAGGGTGTCCAAGAATGATGACCAAAAAATTCAGGGGATAATTCTAGACCGAAAATAAATGCTACCTCTTTCTATAACATTTTTTCCAAAACTGATTATTAACGGAGTTACAGGGTGTTAAGTTAAATTTTATTTGTAGTTTTTTGCAATACCTTTTGCCACACTCATAATATTTTGATGAAATTTCGTATATGGGGGTTTTTCGGGATGAGGATTATAAATTTGCCCACCGTTTTTTCGCATTTTGTAGAGGGAGCAATATACGAGCATTTATTTTGATTTGAATGGTTCCAACTTTTTTGTGCTACACTTTATGCGACTTTTGACTGAATATTTTTGTTCTCCTAACCTTTTGACATAAAAAAGGTATACTTTATTTGTTTCGATAAATCTAACCTTTTCGAGAAAAACGTTAAAATAACATTGCTTGCATGTGATGAATACGAAATCATATTAATTTATTTTCTACATTAAACATAGCATGCTTTGGAAACAAGCGGTTAGTTGCCTTGGAAACAAGTTTGTGGAGAATTAGTTTTGGCAGATAGTAATTTTGTACTAGTTCTTTTGTAGTAATTGTTATCATAAAAATAATAATAAAAATGAACAACAATATTACTCTAACGTGGAGTTGCGGGACATGCATTATTATTACGGTTTAGCTGCTGGCAATGCTCTTGCAGCACGACGTTTGTATCGCGAAGCATTTCCAAATAGAAACCTATCCCAAAACCGAATATTCAGTACTATTCATCGAAGACTGGGAGAATTTGGATCGTTCAAAACTATAATTTTTGATGTAGGTCGACAACGGAATACTAGAACAGCAGAAGCAGAAGCTCGTATTTTGAATTCGATAGAGAATAATCCCAATGTAAGTATAAGAAAATTTGCTATTCAGGAGGGCATTCCAAAGAGCTCCGTACACGAAACAATACGCGAACAAAACCTTCATCCGTACCACTAGCAAAAGGTGCAAGCCTTATCTGCCGTAGATACTGCTGCTCGTGTGAATTTCTGCAATACAATTAGAATACTTCATAATGGTGACCAAAATTTTTTTCGTAATATCCTTTTCACGGACGAAGCTGGATTTGGCCATGATGGCTTAATAAACCTCCACAATGAGCATTTTTGGTCTGATGATAATCCTAATTTATCAATAGAGCGTGGTTATCAAAATAAGTTTTCCGTCAACGTGTGGGCCGGTATTGTAGGGGACTACTACATTTCTTTCCACAAAGACTCAATGGTGAAGTTTACTTGGATTTTCTAAGAAACCACATACCTATTCTATTGGAAGATGTACCACTCGAATTAAGAAATGCAATGTGGCTGCTTCAAGATGGCGCGCCACCGCATTTTAGTTTAGCGGCCAGAGAATTCTTAAATGAAACTTTTCCTGAAAGGTGGATAGGACGCGGTGGTTTTGTACAGTGGGCCCCTAGATCCCCTGACTTAAACCCAATCGATTTCTTTTTTTGGGGCTATCTGAAGACGCTTGTATACAGGACACCTGTGAATAGCGTCGATGAACTGAGAGAAAGAATTGTTGCTAATTGTGAGGTAATTAAGCAAAAGGAAGGAATATTCCATAGAGTTCGTCGGAATTTTTTAAGAAGAATTAATTTATGCATTGAAGAGGAAGGACGTCACTTTGAACCTTTGATTTGAATGTTTAATTTGTATTTGTATTGTTCTAGTAACTTATGTATTTTAACCTTATGATTTTGTTAGTAAACCATTCTTTATTTGTTGAGGACGTTATTTTTTTATTATTTATCATTAACCACCATCAGCGTAACAACAAATTTTCACAAAAATTACTATCTGTCAAAACTAATTCTCCACAAACTTGTTTCCAAGGCAACTAAGCGCTTGTTTCCAAAGCATGCTATGTTTAATGTAGAAAATAAATTAAAATGATTTCGTATTCATCACATGCAAGCAATGTTATTTTAGCGTTTTTCTCGAAAACGGTTAGATTTATCGAAACAAATAAAGTATACCTTTTTTATGTCAAAAGGTTAGGAGAACAAAAATATTCAGTCAAAAGTCGCATAAAGTGTAGCACAAAAAAGTTGGAACCATTCAAATCAAAATAAAGGCTCGTATGTGGCGCCCTCTACAAAATGCGAAAAAACGGTGGGCAAATTTATAATCCTCATCTGAAAAACC